CTTCTCTCTGAGCCTCTCTAACCCCTTTCAAACCCCTATGTTTTATTGTTTCCTTGTGCATATGAGGAAACAGGCTCAAAGAAGGAAATTGACTTACCAAGGTCAAGCAATGCTAAGTGCATGGCTGAGATACTGTCCCGGGTTGTCTGCTTGTAGAACATCTAGCCCCGTGCCACAAAGAAGTCCTATGCAACAGGAATTTATTATCCTGATTCAAAGGAAAACTAAGTTCAAAAGCCAGCAGGTGAACCTAGGTTTCTTAGCACTAAAACTTCTATCACACTACAGTAGTCTAGTCACATCTGTGTGCCCTGATCTATCTCCCCAAGCTGCCAGAACAGCATCTGGTATGTCGTAGGTGTTCATTGAACACTGGATTGGTGAATGACTCCTCCTTTGAAGTTTTATTAGTGAAATGGATGACAGCCTTAACTGTATGAGGTAGTCAGTGATTCACTTTGGTCAAGGCTCACATCTGAATCTGAAGAAAAGCAGTTGACTTAGCTATGTCCCCAGACTCCTCCCCAGTAAGGACAGAAAAACTAGAGAAAGAACCTACTGTTCCAATCTGCAAGGGGAATTAAAACCATGGAGAAGGCCTCATGCTTTTCATCTGCAGGGGAATGGGGCTGGGTACCCGAATGCCGCCTTCCCTCTCACCATCTGTCACGTTGCTGAGGCAGAACGGCTGCCAACAGAAAATCATAGTCCCAAAAGCCATGACGGGTCCTGCTAACTCAGACTCCTCTTACCCCCATCAAGCACCAGATGAAACACAAGCAGCTGAAGGGGGAGGACAGCTAGTGAAAAGGTCCTGCGGGGTCCTGCTGGGTCCCCTTCTAGATGAGAGCCCCTCCAGTCTTCACCATGATCCTGCCAAAGGAAGAGCTTTATTTTACAGAGGTGAAAGCCCAGCAATCAAAGAGGTTCTGATTTCCCATATTAATCGGAAATGGGATTTGAATCCAGAACGCCCAGAGCACGAAGCCTGTGTCTCTTGCCACGCACCCCGATTAGAGTCCATGACGGGTGTTTTCACAGAGTAAAGTACTCTACAAACAGGCTTCTCTCACTGTGAGGATCACAGAGACAGAGCAGATAGAATGATTTCCATTTTATAAATGCAGATTGAGAATAAATGTTCAGTGACACATGTGTAAAATATGCTACATGTAATTCTTGTTTTGTAAAGAAGTTCAGAGACAACAAGTTACATGTTGTTTGCATACATTAAGGCTGAATTCCTATTATCAGTTATCATCAGTTGCTGTGCTGAATTTCTCTTTCTTCAATCCACTTATCTTTGGTAAAATAATTATGAGTCATTTGATTAAAAGTGCTCAGCTAGAGAGTACTGCAACTGGAATCTGAACCTAGAACAGGACTTTCTGGTTTTATGATCTTGTCAAGCTTTTCTGTTACAAGGACCTTTTCTGTTACTTCTCCTGTGAAGTCTGTGTTAGCTTTCTGTTGCTGTGACAAAATGCCTGAGAAAAACAACCTAAAGGGAGAAAGGTTCATTTTGGTTTCTGGTTTTAGAGGATTCAGTTCCTGGCCCACCAGCTCTCTGACTGGCTTTATGGCCCAAAGTGAGACAGACTTCCTGGCAGGAGGAGGGTGTAGAGGAGGAAGCTGCTTACCTCATGGTGGTCAGGAAGAAGAGAGAGAGCCAGAAAGGAAGGGCCTGGGATGAGGTAGAGTCTCCAAGGCCATGTCCTCATGACCCACTCCCTCCATCTAAGCCTCCCCTCCTAAAATTCCATCACCTTCCAATAATACCATCAAATTATGACTCCATTGAGAGACTAATCCACTGCTGAAATTATAGTCCCCATGCTCCAGTCACCTTCCAAAAACCACCTCTGAATATTGCTGCAAGGAGAACCAAGCCTCAACACATGATCCTTTTAGGAGATATTCTAGATCAAAGGCTGTGACAATATCATAAAACATGTACCTTCTAAAGGCACTGCTATGGTTTCTATCTAGATATCCACCAAGAACTTCATGTAATCGTAGGTGGGGCTTTGGGAAATGATTGGGTCTCAGTGGCATTATGCTCATCAGTTTATAGTGCTGTTAGGAAATAGAGCTTGGTCAGAAGAGGTGGGTCGCTGGGCAGGGGACATGGTGACATGGTAGGGTATGGCTCCCTATCTGGCTCTTCTCTGTGCTCTCTTTTTCCTGTCTGCCATGCTATGAGCACCTCTCTTCTGCCATACCATCCTTTGGAGCCGACTACAATGGACTGGAATGTGAACCCAAATAAACTTCTCCTCCTTAAACTGTGGGTGTCAGATTATTCTGTCCCAGCAATGAAGAAAGTGACTAAGACAAGCATCTTTATGTAGAACATCTCATTCACTGCTAGTCAGATACTTAGACAAATACTTCACTGAACCTTCCAATGTGCAGGAAGTCTTCATCTCCGATATTTATAATTCATCTTGGGGGCCATTCTACCAGTGTAGGAAGATTGCATCAGGATAAATTCTTCCAGGCATGTAGAAGGGAAAGAATTTATGTTACCTTCTCCAAGAGAATGGACAGTCACTGTCCTAAACCAGACAATTTGTGAGACTGTTTAAAAGTAAAACGGCCTTGGTCTGAGGTTTAAAAAAAAAAAATGCTATGTTAGACAAATGTAAGACATAGTCAAAAGCAAGCTGCCAATCCCTGTAGAACGATCCCTTTCTGGCCAGAGCTGTTGGGTACCAGTCAAATACTCAGAAGAGGTCAGTGAAGCACATGAGTGAGCAAATTAACATCATCAAGGTCCAGGGACACTGCTGTAGAGGACAAGGAGACATGGCACGGCAGGACATGCTCATCTGTGGACCTTGGGCAGGAGCTGTGTTCCACAATTTTACAGGTGGCCCAGGTAGCAGCCAATGTGAGCAATGGCTTGAGCTCAACAACTGGAGGTGGGGACCACACTGGGAAATATCCAAGATGTTTGTGTCAGAAATTTGTGCTTAACTCATTAGACCCATGATGGCGAACCTTTTAGAGATCTAGTGCCAAACTGCATCCCATAACCCACTTATTTATCACCAAGTGCCAATGTTGCAATTACAACTAAATTCTGAGGTTGTAATTCAGAAAAAGCAACTCCTACATTAACACCTTCGGTCTTGAAAGAAAAACACTGTAACACACATGCCTTAGCTTCGCCACCACTGTATTAGACATTACCACAGGCTTTGGTGACAAAGAACATAATCAGCACTACCAGTATTTTAGGAAAACTGATCTTGAATTCATTCATCAAATATCTATTGAGCACCTTGCCAGGCACTGAGTCTCTTCATTTCTGCATGCCAGGGTCGGGCGCACATCAGATGTTCTGCCAGTGCTACCGCATCTGGGTGACTATGGTGGTCTGTGTGACCAAGATATGGCAGAAATGCTGGTACCTTACTTCTGAGGTAAGTCTATAAAGATGCTGTGGCTTGCTTCCCTTTTAATCTCTCTCTCTCTCTCTCTCTCTCTCTCTCTCTATCTCTCTCTCTCTATCTCTCCTGACAGCTTCCTCAAGGGAAGCTGGCCGCAACACTACGAGCAGCCTTATGCTGAGGCCCACCTGAAAGGCATTCCAGCCCATGAGTGAGTTGGCCTTAACAGCCAGACCCAGATGCCTGTAGCCTCAAGAGAGACCCCCCTGAGCACCCCAGCTGAGCCCCTCCTGGCTTCATCGTCTCAGAAGTTGGTGAGCCTGTGCCATCACATCATGATCATCCCAAGTCCAGAGCTTACAACCACTGCCTCTCAGAGTAACACACTACACAGCACAGGTGAGTAGTACCAGATCTTCCCAGCAGCAGTGATCTCGGGATAAAATGAAATCACAACTGCCTAGGGACTTGTGAAATCAGCAGAGTATGGCCAGGTGGGGTGAGGGACCCCTCTCCATGGTGTGCAAGAGGGAATGGGCAGAGCTCTGCATGTCCAGCCTCACTGTGTGCTCCCCAGGCAGTGCTGGCCGCCACCTTTCCTCACACAGGGCAGAGTCCCCCCTGCACCTTTAGCATCTTCCTGAAGAACTGCTGGATAACGGCCCTTCCAGGAAAAGAATCAAGACCTCCAGAGCTCAGAGAGCACAAGAGATGGCCTGGCCTTGTTCAGCGCAGGGGAGGGGGAGGCAGGCCTGGGAGAGGTGTGGAGGGGCTACTGAGCTGGGGGGAGGAGACCAAAAGGTGTGGGCAGCAAGCCTCTCCTCTCCCCACAGGTAGCCAAGCCCCTGAGCTTGGAGACTTTCCATGAGCCTCTGATCGATGGCCTGGCTCACACTGTATCCTTTTAAAGTAAAAACTCAAGGATGTACCCAGGCCATCTGTGCTTACCGAGAGGGCCCCCTTTCCACCTGCCTGACACCCGTGGACTGATGCCTTAGGGTGGAACAGAGCATGGCTCCCACCACCCCTCCTCCTGTCTGCAGGCCAGGCCTGTGCTCGAGCTGCAAGACAGCTCTGCTCGAACAGGGGACACCGAGGTCTGCAGCTGGCTTCCACATCATCCTGGAAACACCTGGGGAGGGTGGGCACAGCCCGAGCCACTGTCCGGAGTGAGGATGGCACCCTGGAGACCAGGGGACGTCGTGCAGGTGTTCTGCCTATCCTAGAAACCAGCCGACCACACAAGAAACCTGCCCTCTACAAATACATTAAGACATGTTCGAAATCATTTTTAAATGCTTTGCTTTCCAATGTTTCAAGTATAAAGTGGTTTGGGCCTCTCGGAAATAAAGTAAATAACCTGAAGTCTTATTTTTTAAAATAAATAAATAGAGCTGGAAGGACCCATTCATACCGATGGTGCACGCGGCCTGGACAGACACGCGTTTGCAGTTTGTAAACCAGGCCTTCACTCACCCTTCAAGGCATCTGCGTCCAGCCCCCCTGGCCGTGGTTCCCTCTTGGAGGAGACCGACGCCCTGTGACACGGGCATGGCCTCCCCTCCTGGTGAGCCTGGACTCTGCCCTCCTCAGGGACCTCCGTACCTCAGCGAGGCGGGCAGGACCTGCCTCCAGAAGCTGTGCTGTCTGAGCTCCTCTCGCAGCGCTGCCATGTGGAGCTGAGGGTCCCCAGGCCCAGGCCTGCGGCACTGTGAGAGGCGGTTAGGACTCGGAAGATGCGCTTGCGCTTGCGGGGCTGTGGGGCCCTGCCCTTCCCCTTCCCCCTCCGTTATGCACCGGTGCTTCCTGGGTCACCTGCTATCACCGGGATACCTACCTCACCACAGTCCTAGGCGACGCAACGAGCCAAGCCACCGTGAGCCAAAGTAAAACTGTTCTCTTTTTAAACTGACCATCCCTGGGATTTTAAGAAATGCAAGGCAGACTAACACACTCAGTAAGCGAAACGTTTTATGTATGGCCACTCTCACTGGGGCTGTTGTTCCTCCAGTCCGCTCTGTGAGGCTGTGAGGACCTGGGGCCATGCTGGTGGAAATACTTCCTGGTACACAGAAGGGGCACCTTCTGAGGAGTCAGAGCAGGGACTGAACTGTTTTTTTCAGTACTGGGACCTTCACACTGAGATATATTCCCAGAATTTTTTGTTATTACTATGTATTTTAAGATTACTACTTATTTATTATTACTGTTTCTCTAAGTTACTATATCTCTAAGTTTTTTCTCAACTCATCACCCTCCTGCCTCAGCCTCCCAAAACGCTGGGATTACAATTTATGCCACCACATCCAGCTGGCAGCATTCCTTTGCCCCTGTTTCCTCTGTTCTTTCATCTCTGACCCAGCCAGATCTGGCCCTGAGGCTTGGTTGATACCTGTCATACATGTAGGTGAAGAAATAAATCACCCGGCCTGGGTGCTCCTGCAGCAGAGCTGGGCCAGAGCCACAGCCTCCGACCCCAATACACCTGAGCAGATGTCCTCCTGCAGAAGGTGCCAGAGACAGCAGGAGACACTCTGCTCCTCCACCTTGCTCATCCCTGTCCAGAAGACCTTGCTGGCAGGATGGGAAAAGTGGCTCTCACTGTGACCATCACAAATCACACGGTGTTGCTGTGTTTTTGCATTGAAATGATTATTTCCAAAGGGAGGGACCTTGCAATGACAGCCAGGCGAAGACAGCAGCCCACATTTCAAAATAGGTCATTTAGAGAGGAGAGAAAACCCACAGCTGTCTGGCCAGATCCTGGGAGGGCTGTGCAGTGGGGAGGAAGAAAGCAGGTGCGGTGGAAATGACAGGCAAGTGACAAGTGCGGGCTCAGGTGGCATGGCTAAGGGTACCCAGACAGCAAGAGCTCCCAGGGACAGGAGACCAGGTTTGGGGCCCAGCGCTCTCACCTGCAGACACGGAGGCCCTGTGCAGTCTCTCTGTATACCATTTAGTAAAGTCTGGGTTTACAAGAACACACAAGGCTCCAAGGAGCCTGACACTGTGTCCTTCCCTGCTCGCCACGGGGAGCACGAAGGCAGGGGTCAGCGCAGCAGCCCTGACCTCCTCCACGAACAGTGCCAGGAAAGGCTTGATTGATGTGCGGTTCGCTCACATTTCTCCAGAGGCGCTGGGCACGGTGGGGAGCACAAAAGGGAAGACAAAGTCTGCGTGGACGGAGGCATTAAAGGGTGCCTCAGCAAGAGAGCCAACGTGTTTGTCGCTGCAGTAAATAAAAACTATGAAAATGACTTGCGTGTGCCTCCAGGCTTTAGGATGATCTGAACACAGGGGAAACGTAAGACAGAATGAAGACTGTGGCTGGGGAGGAGAAGGCTACAGGAGGCTGGCCAGAGGGGATGGGGTGGGGACCAGGGGGACTCAGATGACAAAGAAGAAAGAGAGGAAAGAAGTCCTTCAGAAAAGGCTGAATGCCTGAGCATCCAGAAAGACCGTGTTAAGAAAAACTGAAGGGTACACTTGGATTTGATTACACTGAGGGAGCCAGGATAACCTAGCAGCTTTAAGACAGGAAAAAATCAAAGATCATGTTAATAGCTGGACTTGGTGACCCAGAACCTCCAAGCAAAGATTTCTGGAGTTTTGTTTGTTCAAACTGTAATCCCAAATTCAAATCGTAGGGTCAGTAGGACGGGGAACCAGAGATGAAAACACTGCGGCCTGAGAGGTAAAGGGGAGAGTCTGGGTACCAGCCTTGCTGGCTGGCCCTGGCTTCCCTCCTACACCTGCCCCAGAACAGAGCAGAGAGCCACACTCCCACAAGAGGCTGGAGGAGGAGGAGGAGGAGGAGGAGGATGATGATGATG